AACTTTTATTTAGTAATATTAATTATATGTTGCAACATCATATACTATATGATATGACACACACGTGCAACGCACGTGCCGTGAAACTAGTATATATATATATCCTTTTATTGTTGGTTATTTTTGAAAGAAAATAAAAAATATGGAAAGCAATAGCATATTGCTACATGATAAATTTCATCCCAATCTCAATCAAAAACATATCCCATGGGAAAGGGAATATTCCATTCTTTCTCCCCCCAAACTTTTTGATCTTATACAAAATTTATAATTACACTTTACCCTGAATCTAGTCTATAAAACCAAAAAGGGGTGGGGACAACTATATAAGGGAAGTTCACAATAGCTAAAATATAAAAAACCTAGATCTAGAAAAAAGAGAATGGATAAGACGAGTTTGAGATTTTGAGAGAGTTTGGAAGTTTCTGATCAATCTTCGATTAGCAATCCAAAGTCGCTTTTTTGTTTGATTTGCAGAGACATTTGAGGTTTAACTTCGATCTCATTCTCATCTTTCCAATAGCTCCTTTATTCAAAACATATAAAAATTATTCCTTTGTGTGTGAATGTGAATCCTAGTTTTACGACTGAGCTGTTAACTAAGAAAATCAATTAATCGCTTCATATGACCTATGAAAAAGTAATTTGTTTTTTCTCAATTGAAATTTTGTCGGGCATTTTATTAATAACTCCAATGGAAAAACAAATATAAACATCATTTGGGCCTAAAGCCCAAATCAAAGCAACATTACATGGATATAGGAGACCAGCCCACCCAGTCCGCTTCCTCTCCTATAAATATCTCCCTTAAGATTAGGATTTTTATTTCCGCCCCACACTCTACATTTTCCCCAGCCCTCCACACCTGCACAATGTTTGCATTGTGGTTTAACAAGAAACTCTGCCTCCTGTTTTTATATATCACCAATGTTTATAAGTTGATCTTCCTGCTTCCTTGGTCATCAGGTAATAATACAAAGAACTATTTTCTCTGTGTTTTTTTTGTTGTTTCGTACAACTGAGTCTTTTGCCCTTAGTTGTGATCTCCCTTACAATGGCTTGTGCTCTTGATGTTTTGAAAACGGAATTCATCTACGAGATGAAAAAGTAATCTGTTAATTATTTCATTTATGAAATTTTTTGGCATTCTTAATTATTATTATTTTTAAAAACAAATGAAGAGGTGTTTGTTGTGTTGATATGTTTATTACCAATGGGTGTTAAAGATGGATTTTGAAATTGTTTTTAAAGTTTGAGATGGAAAAATATTTCCCCTGAGTTCACTTTCATACATTGAGCTTTATCATGTTTAGTGATTATTTATGGAGGTAAGATTTTGAAATAAAGTTAGTTAAGTTGTTGCGTTTCAGTTTGATGAGTTTTTTTGTTTTAATCCATATTTAGGTTGGCTTTTCTATTTGCAATGATCTGAAAAAATAAATAGAGTTAGATCTTGATTTGTTTAAACTAATTTATCATTTGAGAAATAAGACTTCAATAAAACTTAATTTATTTCACAAATTAGAGCTCCTTGGTCGTAAATCATGTGTTCCTACTGAAATTTCCTCAAATATATACTAGTTCACTCCATTTGGGTTCAGGGACGTAATTTCAAGCACATATAGTAATTTTGGGGCCTAGACCAATGTTTTAGGCCTTATTTATAAATGTGAGAAGAGTTACATATGATACGATTCCCTTATTTTTGATGACGTAAAACTGTGTGAATGCTTGGAAAATGTAAAACATATGAGTCAATCCTATGTCTAGCACAGAATAGATTCACTTTTGATTAATGTTTTTATTATTTTTTGTTTAAATAGATGGAAAATGTGAATAATATTGTCTCTCGTGTCTAGTTGTTTGAAGAATGTTCATTTGTTTTATGTAGCATGACTCATGCCCTAGGGAGAACATATTCCCCACTTAAAGAAAATTAAATTAAAATTCTTAGGTTTTTTAGATGGATATATGCTTGATGTAGGTAGATATAGTTGGATTGGATTAAGACCTCTCTTTTCTTCTCATCAGAAGAAAATGAGATCTCCTAAATTTCTACGCTATAGATCATGAACCCAAAAAAGTTATAAAAACCACAAACACAAAAAATGAAAATAAAGGAACGACTGAGTCAAGATAGAATTGTCATACAAAAAAAGGAAATTCAAGATGCACATCTACTTAAAGAAGGGAGATCCCTAAAATTACTCCTTTTTATTTTATTTCTATAGCTTTCTTGGGTTATGTAGATGGATAAGGATTGAGATAACATAGATTGGTTCAATCATTAATTCAAAAAAATCATACCATAATGGTAATACAATTGATCAATTCAGTATAACATAAACGAAATTTTTTGGAATAGTTCTAATTATCATCAATTATTCTTTAGTTATTTTGATACTTTTTGTTGAGTCGTATGTCAAAATATTATAATATTTACTAGCTTTCGTATTTGTTTAATAAAGATTATCAAATACTAATACAGTTACTTTTTTAATAAATATTTGTGATATTTTTATACTTATATTTTGTTGAGGTGGGTTCTTGTACTACTTTTTTTTTTTTATGAAAATAACTAATGACTAGTTAATAATATATAGACTATCTCAACTATTTACCTTTATCTTCATGTATTAAATTATGAAGATACTTTAATAAATTTTATAATTTTGTAGAGACTAGATTGGGAGATCACTCAATAACAAATCTAAGGTATTGTAAGTTTTGTTTTATCTCCTTAATATCAATAATTGAAATAGAAAACATTAATATGTTATTCAAATCTATAAAAATATTTAAAACTCCAAATATTCCTTGAATGTCCAAATTATTTTACTTTTGTTAAGATAAAAATAGGAAAACATTAGAAAAAAACAATGATATAGTAGATGATCTTAGGCATATTTATATGCCTAAGTTGTCAATATTTGCCCATGAATTGATTTAAATAATGAATGATTTTGAGTCTATTAGCTTGATTTTGTTATACTTGCGATGATTATGCACTAAAACATGTGATTAGAGGTTTCAGGAAACTCTCAAGGAGATTGGAGTCAAATTGAAGAAAAGAGATACAAAGCCGTGTGAAGAATAGACTAATTGTGGAAGCACCTGGGCCTGGCATACTAAGAGAGGCGCCGCGCCAGGCCTGAAAGTTCTGAGGCTTTCTTCAGGCTTACTGTGAGAGGCGCCGCACCAGGCCTCAACATTCAGAGGTGTTTTCTGGGCACTCTGCTAGGCACGACACGCCAAGGTGAAGAGTTCAAAGGCAATTGCTAGGTGCGATGGGAGGCACGACACGCCAGTGTTATCCCGACTTTTCCAGCTTAAAAAGTGTTAAATAGGATTCCTAATTTTAGTAGACATTGACTCCAAGTTTTCCAACTCTTATAAATAGATCCTTAGGGCTCCATAGTTGGGGTTCGACTTTTTATTTGGTGTGCAAGATCAAGTATCATCATTTTTCATAGGTTTTGATCTTCTAACTCTTCTATTTTCTGGAAATTGCATGAACAATTGTATTTTGTGGTTTTCTAATAGCATGAGTGGCTAAACGCCCTAGTTCTCGGGCTGTATCTACGAATCGAATGTTGAATTTATGAATTAATTATTGGTTGTCATTTTAAGTTACTTCTATATTCTTGTTTCAGTATATTATGTTTGCGCACCATAAGATAAATCTATTGTTTAATCTTAAAATCGTGAGAGGAGGGATTAGATAGACCAGAGAATATAGAGAGCTTGATCGACCCATTAAGTTGAGGTAATTTGTGTCCAGAAGTGACGCCCGGACGAACAACTCACTTGGTTACGAAACTGGATGAAATATAAATGCTCGCCAGTTAGTCTGTTTATCCCCGCTTAACGATGTAGTTAGGCAGTTAATTGGAGTAGGCGACTAGAGGTGTCTGACCCGACTCATACAATTAACCCTGTAAATCAGTAACTTGACAACTAAAATTAGTTCTAAGCCGATAATTTTGATACATGAGATTCATATCATGCTGCAGCCCTGGAATTGTCTTTTACTTGCTTGAAACATCATCTAAAAGTCACTCACAATTAGTTACTTTTATTTGTTGCATAATTAGTAGTAGTTTATAATCATCACAATTTCTGAAAACGGTTACTTTTGTTTTATTTGTAGATTTAAGTGTCATATATTAGTTGATCATAAGTCCCTTGGGAACGATAACTCGTTTCTTTAAGAATCTATATTACTTGATCGACCACGTACACTTGCGTGTATACTAGGGAGCAATAAGTTTTTGGTGCCGTTGTCGGGGACTTAGAAATTGATTTATATTCGATCTTCTTAAGTCTACAATTAGAATATTCAGGTGTTAATTACTTGATCTTAGCTTGTTTATTGCAGACAGTGAACTCTCAAGTCTGGCTTGGAAAGGAGAATTGTCGAACCAGACAACAAACCCGAAAGAGCCTTACGCCAACGCAAAAAAATGAATCGAGGGCATCAAGAATAATTGGGGTTAGGTCTTCGTGGTGACAATGAGGAGAATAACCAAGATAACGTGAACAACCAAGAGAACTTGAATAACCAAGAGGTACCCCATGTCGTACCTGCAAGACAAATCCGTGATATGGCAGTCCCACTCACACCCAATGTGTCATCTAGTATTAGGAAACCTCCACCGGGAGGTAGATTTGAACTAAAACAGGGCATGGTACAACTCCTCCATTCTAATGGGCAATTCACTGGTCTCCCCCATGAGGATTCTCAAATCCACATTAGAAACTTCATAGAGATTAGTGATACTTACATCCCAAATAGAGTCTCATCAGATTATGTGAGGCTAACGTTGTTCCCATATTCATTGTTAGGAGCCGCAAGGCGCTGGTTAGATTCTGAGCCACCAAACCCCATCACCACCTGGGATTACCTAGCTAAGAAGTTCTTGAGTCGATTCTTCATATCTAAGAAAACCGCTTAGTTGAGAAGTGAGATATTAAGCTTTAATCAAAATAAGGGGGATGATATGTACCAAGCATGGGCTCGTTTTAAGCAAATGTTGAATGCCTGCCCGCACCACATGCAAACTAATGAAGTACTTGATCACACGTTCTTTGAAGGTTTAGATTATAATGCACGTGTACTTCTTAATAGTGCAACAGGTGGACAAGCCCTAGCAAAAACCTGTGAGAAGTTGTTCAACTTACTCGATAGACTCTCCGAAGGGAACCCAGGGTATGAAGGGGAAATGCCTAGAACCACAACCCAAAAGGCCACGGGGATCTTAGATGTAGATCAAGCTACTGCCATAAACGCCAAATTAGATGCAATGCAACATAACATGGCCTTACATTTTAAGCAGATGGCCCTTAAACGGTGCACCGGTAAATGTTATACAACAGGCAGCAAATTGGTGTGGGGTATGTGGTAGTGGAGCTAATGAAACCAAACTATGTGAGGAAAACCCAGATTCCGTAAACTATTTGGGTAATGCACAAAAGGGTGGAGGTCAGCAAAACTATGGTAACACTTACAACCCTAGTTGGAGGAACCATCCTAACTTCTCATGGGGTGGGAACCAAAACCAAAACCAAGCACAAGGGGCTAACCAATACCGTTCTCAAGGGGTTGGGCAACAATACCAAAATCCTAACCAAAGAGCAAATCCTAATGCACCAAAAGGGGGGATGACCAATGAGGAGCTACTCCAAAAGATCATGGCTGAAATAGGGACAAAAATAAATGCTAGGATAGATAAGCAGGATGAGAACATCATAAACATCCAAATGTCCCAAATGAGTTTAGAGAAACAAGTTGCCCAAGTTGCTAATTCTCTGAACATACGTCCCCAAGGTGGGCTACCCGTTGATAATGAACCTAACCCCAAGCAACTAAATACGGTGAGTACTAGAAGTGGGTTACAATTAGAGGAACTAGCTCCAAAGAAAAGAGATATTGAGGCAGACACTAGAGAAAATAAAGTGGAAGAGGTAGTAAAGAGCTCCAATGTTGAGGCACCTATTCCTCAAAAGAAACTACCACCTCTGTTTCCACAAAGACTCAGAAAGCATAATAATGATGAATGCTTCGGTAAGTTTCTCTCTCTCTTTAAACAGGTTCACATTAATCTTCCTTTGGTTGACATTTTTGCAGGTATCCCAAAGTATGCTAAATACGTAAAGGAGGTAGTGGATAACAAGACGAGGCTCATAGAGTATGAAACTGTAGCACTTACTAGGAGTGCAACTCTAGAATCCAAAATAGACTGCCCAAAAAGTTAAAAGATCCGGGTAGTTTTACTATGTAGATTACAATTGGGAAAAGTGTGCATGCCCGGGAGTTGTGCGATTTGGGGGCGAGTATAAATCTTATGCCCTTATCATTGTATAGAAGCTTGGGTTGGGTAGTCCTAAACGAACCACTATTATTCTCCAACTCGCTGATAGGTCCATTGCTAGGACAGAAGGGGTAGTAGAAGATATGTTAGTACAAGTAGGTTCCTTGATTTTCCAGGTAGATTTTGTGGTCTTGGATTTGAACCCAATTCTAAAGTTCCATTCATCTTAGGACGTCCGTTCTTAGCCACGGAGAGTGCATTGATTGATGTAGCAGCTGGACAATTAATCATGAGGGCACATGATAAGTTTGAAGTGTTTGATGTTTATCGCGCTTTAAAATTGCCTTCTAGCTATGAAGAATTATTTGCTAAATGATTGTAGATCACCTAGTAGAGTCGCAGTCAGTTGTTCCCAGAGATCCCCTAGAAAAAGTGTTAGTGGGTCATGAGGTGGATGAAGATACTGAGGCCCAAGAGATAGAAACATATTTGAATCTGGCACTTGTGGAAACTCACAAGCATAGAGTCGAGTCATTAGATCATGAGTTAGGACCTCCACTAAAGCCTTCAATAGAAGAAGCTCCCAAGATGGAGTGAAAAACTCTGTTTGCTCACGTAAGGTACGCATTTTTGGGTACTAATGAAACTTTGCCTGTTATACTTTCTGCAGAGTTATCTGAAATACTGGTTGATGCGGCATTGAGGATCCTAAAGCAGAGAAAGAAAGCGATTGGATGGCAGATGGTTGATATTCATGGGATTAGTCCAGCATTATGTATGCACAAAATCTACATGGAAGATGACCACAAAACAAGTGCATAACATCAATGTAGGCTAAATCCTGTGATGAAAGAAGTGCTGAGAAAAGAGGTAATAAAGTGGCTAGATGTTGGAATTGTGTACCCGATTTCTAATAGTAAGTGAGTAAGTCCGGTGCAGTGTGTTCCCAAGAAGGGAGGTATGACAGTGGTAAGGAACGAAAAGAATGAGTTGATTCCTACTAGAAAAGTAACTGGATGGAGAATTCGTATGGATTACCAGAAACTAAATGATTCCACCCGGAAAGATCACTACCCAGTTCCCTTAATTGATCAGATGATTGACCGACTAGCAGGGCAAAGTACTATTGTTTTTTAGATGGGTATTCCATTACAACCAGATCTTGATTACACCCGAGGATCAGGAAAAGACCATGTTCACTTGTCCTTATGGTACATATGCTTTCAAATCATACCATTCGGACTTTGCAATGCACCGATGACTTTTCAAAGGTTTATGATGGCCATTTTTCATGATATGGTGGAGAATTTTTAGAGGTGTTCATGGATGATTTCTCCATCTTTGGGAAGTCTTTTGAGGTATGTCTCCGGAATCTTGATAAAGTACTTGCTAGATGTGAGGACACTAACTTAGTGCTAAATTGGGAAAAAGTGTCATTTTTTTGTTAGAGAGGGGATAGTATTGGGTCACAAGGTGTCGAAGTCGGGTTTAGAGGTTGATAAAGCAAAGGTAGAAGTTATTGAGAAATTGCCCCCTCCCATTTCTGTAAAATGGGTGCATGTTTTCTTGGTCATGTTGGTTTTTACCAGCGATTCATCAATGATTTTTCCAAGATTGCAATACCTATGTATAGTCTTTTGGATAAGGAGGTGAAGTTTGACTTTGATGAGATGTGGTTGACAGCTTTTAAGATGTTGAAGAGGAACTTAATTGAGGCCCCCATCTTAATTGCTCCTGATTGGGAATTACCATTTGAACTCATCTGTGATGCAAGCGACGTAGCAGTGGGTGCAGTGTTGGGACAAAGAAAAGGAAAGGTGTTCCACTCGATCTATTATGAAAGCAAGGCCCTGGACTCTACACAAGCTAATTACACAGTGATTGAGAAGGAGATGTTAGTCCTAGTGTTCGCCTTCGACAAATTCATATCGTATTTGGTATGTGCTAAAGTTATTGTGTTTACTGACCATTCAACTATTAGGTACCTATTCAATAAGAATGATGCTAATCCAAGGTTGTTCGATGGATATTGTTTTCTAAGAATTTGACCTTGAGATTAAAGATAGAAAATGTACTGAAAAATCAAATAGCTGATCACTTGTCTAGGTTGGAGGATTTTCCCATGTGAATGAAGGTGAGCAAATCTGGGATAAGTTTTCGGATGAACAGTTGATGGCACTAGATATCTCACAAGTGTCTTGGTATGTGGACATTGTGAATCTTATTGTTAGTGGATATTACCCACCGGGTGCAACCACCCAACAAAAGAAAAAGCTCAATCATGATGCTAAGTTCTATATCTGGGATGAACCATTCTTGTTCAAGCAAGGTGCGGATCGGGTGGTGAGAAGATGAATTCTGGAATATGAGGTTCAAAAAGTGCTCGAAAGTTGTCATGCTAGCCCATATGGAGGGCACCATGGAGGAAAGCGCACGGCACATAAGGTACTATAATCTATTTTTTTTGCCATCGTTATTTAAAGATTCTATTGCTTTTGTGAAGGGTTTGATAAATGCCAAAGGTTGGGTACTATTTCAAGAAGACATGAGATGCCGCTAAGTAACATTTTGGAGGTGGAAATTTTGATGTGTGGGGTATTGACTTTATGGGTCCCTTCCCGCCATCGAATGGAAACCCATACATCCTTGTGGCAGTGGATTATGTGAGTAAATAGGTTGAGGCTATCGCTCTTTCTTCAAATGATTTATAGGTGGTGATAAAGTTCATTAAGAAGCACATCTTCACTCGCTTTGGCACTCAAAGGGTAAACATAAGTGATGGAGGTAAGCATTTCATTAACCGTTAAAAATCTTATTGCTAAGTATGGTATTCGTCATAAGGTTGCTACATCTTACCATCCTCAAATGAGTGGCTAAGTGGAGGTTTCGAATAGAGAGGTGAAGCAAATTTTGCAGAAAATGGTGAATGCGCAGAGGAAAGATTGGTCTGAGAAGTTAGATGATATGTTCTGGGCATACACGACTGCGTATAAGACACCCATAAGGACTTCTCCCTATCACATAGTATTTGGTAAAGCATGTCATCTTCCGGCAGAATTAGAACACCAAGCTTATTAGGAGATTAAGAGGTTGAACTTGGACCCCGAGTTGGCCGGTAGAAAAGAGAGTGAATCAATTTCATGAACTTGAGGAGTTTAGGCTCCACGCGTGATAATGCTAAGCTTTACAAAGAAAGGATGAAAAGGTGGCACGACAAACACATAGTTACTCATACTTTCACTCCCCTTTAGCTCTAAATTGAGGTTATTCCCTGGAAAACTAAGGTCTAAATATAGTGGTCCTTTCGAAGTGGTAAGAATGACACAACATGGGGCTGTTGAACTTAAATGTTAGACTGGCCCTACGTTCTTGGTAAATGGGCAAAGGGTGAAACACTACTTTGGTATGGATTCAGACTGTGATCGGGAGGCTCTTGAGCAAAATGATGAATGATCCAAGCTGAGTCATGCCGCAACGTTAAATCAAGCGCTACATGGGAGGTGACCCGTGAACAATATGTAATAGATAGGTAGTTCATTTTTTTTTGCTTCAACATAGTTTCAATTCTTAGAATCTACGAAGTATTCTTATTTATTAGTTTTAGCTATATAGGATTTTTCATTATTTGCGCGCCACGCCTAGCTTGATAATTCAAAGAAGCTTTTTGGGAGCTACGCTAGCGCGTCGCCCCTTAATCACACCCCCAACCCAGCACTCCACTGAAGCTAGGCGCACTGGCAGGTACGCCGCGCCTGGCCTTGTTATTCTGCAACACTTTGGGGCGCTACGCTGGCGTGTCACCCCTCAATCGCCCCAACACCCAGTCGCGATGGGTCGATCCAAATCGGGTTCGACTCGACTCAACCCCTCTTTAACCCCAAATCCTACATTCATCCCCATATTTTCTAAACCCCAACCCACTAACTTCTCTCCAACTCTTCTTCTTCTTCATCTCTTCCCTCTCTAAATTCCACCATTAAAACCCACACCTTCCAAACTTCCAACTTCCTCAACCTTTCTTCTTCCCCACTCTCTCCCTTAAATATCCAACACTCCACCATTTTCTTCCCTCCCTCACTCTATATCTCTACAAGCACAAGAAAACAACCTAAATATTTTTATCCCTTCTTCCACCCAGTCACTGCCATACCCAACCCCCCTCTAATTTTTCATTTTTTTCTTTTCTTTTTGTTCTTTTTTTCTCCTTCTTAACAGGTTATGATGGCTCATAAAGCTAAAAATGTGGTGGGTTCTAAGCGGAGTAGAAAGGTGAAGGATCCGGTTCGCTAGTGGCGGAACCAGCGCAAAATTTGGGAAGAAAGCAGTGGAAAGGTATGGTTGGGAGTGGTTTGACTGTCAGTGAGAGGCTAAGTATATGGGGACGAGTACGTCAATGAGGTAAGATTACAGTCCTAATTTCCTGTTATTTATCAGATTGTGGTTGAGTTGGGGCTGAGGTTTATATTTAAACATCCGGGTGATTGTAATTTGTCATTGGTTCGGGAGTTCTATGCAAATTGGCTCAATGAAACTAATTATAAAATTGTGCCTATTCGGGGTAGAATGTGAAATTTCTGCTAGAATACTGAATGAGTTTTTGGGAACCCTGAACTGTGACGTTGATGATTTCAATAGGTTGAAAGAAAAGCCCCCTATAGAGATAATCGTCATAGTTGTGTAGGGTGGAATCGACTGTGAGGTGGGAGAGAAGCAAAGATAATGGGAGGCATTCTACCCTCCACTTTGCTAATTTTAATCAGGTTGCTCGGGTGTGGTTAAAGATAGTTTGTAGTGTGTTGTTGCCTGCTAAACATCTATCAGATGTGACGAGATAGGGTGGTTCTGGTTTATATGTTGATAAGGGTTGCCTATAAATGTTGGGGTAATTCTGAGGCAAAATATGATGAAGTTCTAAAATAATTTGTGGTGGCAGTTTTGTT